CACACACACACACACACACACACACACACACACACACACACACACACACACAGAGAGAGGCAAAGCCGCGAAGGAAGGGAGATGGGAAGACGGGGAACGGGAGATCGGTGGAGAAAGAAAGATGTGGAGGTGAAAAGGCTTCTCCTTTGGAGATTAAAGCGGCAGGAGAAGAGACCCCGCACGCACGTCGCTGCGTTAGACCTCTCGTACAGATTAAAGGCCGGACCTTGGCATTTCTTACTACGAGCTTGCAAAACCTGTAGAAAGATTGGCTTTTCAATCTCGTACAGACAACATCAGCCGGCCGTTAAGCCCCCCCCCAACTCTCTCTCTCTCTCTCTCTCTCTCTCTCTCTCTCTCTCTCTCTCTCTCTCTCTCTCTCTCTCTCTCTGTGTGTGTGTCTCTCTGTCTCTCTCCACAGCTACCTCCACACAGCAATCATGCATTGAGGGCACGCACCATCTCAACTCTCTACACACAACAAGCACACAACAAGTCCACCTCAGCTATATTAAGCCGTTGGACAACAGCTGACGCGAGTTATGGGCTTGTCCCCGAGACCTGCTTCCTTCCTTTTATTCAAAACGGACAGACATGGCCGACATAGGGGACCTGTTTTCAGTTCGCTTCTTCACCCTCTACACTACCCATGACCAGCTTTCTACCTGCCCCTACAGGCGAGAGCTTTCTGTTCCACCACCACCACCTCCTCCTCCTCCTCCTCCTCCTCCTTCTCCTCCTCCTACAACCACTACTTCTCCTCTCCTTCTCTCCTCCTCGAACAGCTAGCTATTCCTGTTCCCTCTTACCCACCAACTCTCCCCTCCCCCTCACCTTCCTGTTCTTTCCACCCCTTCTCCTTGATGCAGTATCGTCGTTTTGTCTATCTTCAATTAATATATACTCTTATCAACCAAAATCAATCCGATCAGCCAATCCATCAGCCAGACAACCTCCTTTTCAACCAATCTACCAACCAATCAAATCAATCAAATCAATCAAATCAATCAAATCAATCAAATCAAATCAATCAAATCAAATCAATCAATCAATGTTGTCCCTATTCGATGAACCCTGTTTCATCTCCTCCTAGTCTGCTCTATACTGGACATCGATGAGTGCTCCTTGCTTGACCACCCTCTGCGACTCCTCCCCTATTCCCTCTCCCTTCCTCGCTTTCCCGCCCCCTCATTTCCCTTCCTGATCTGTCCTCTCCTACGTGCAAGTCCATCACAGTCAGCATATGTGCGTACCTACCTACCTACCTACCACCCGAGGAGCGAATCCAAAATCGATAGCATTACCTCTCCACATCCTTCGCCCTGATCACCTGATCAGCTATGCCAGGTTGCGAGTCCTGATGAGCTTTTCCGCAGAGCTCGAGCGTTTTTTTTGCTCGTCTCCGAAAAAGGTAGTCCACCGCAGAGAGAGGAACGCGAAATGCCGGTGAGGCGTCCCATTCCTACTCATGCATTTCCAGATATCTATATGTATATATATATATATCTATATCTATATATATCTATATATATCGTCACAAACAGAACTGCCCGGTAAACCGTAGGCAGAGAGAGAGAAGAGGACAACAAACGAGGGGCTGTGTATATATCTATCTATCTATCTATCTATCTATCTATCTATATATATATATATATATATATATATATATATATATATATTATATATATATTGATGAGAAGAAGAGGACTTAAGTTTCCCAGGACTATTCACAGCAACGTAATGATCAGCATTCGCCTCATCATCTCCTCCTCTTTCCGAAGAGCCTGCGACTCTCTCTCTCTCTCTCTCTCTCTCTCTCTCTCTCTCTCTCTCTCTCTCTCTCTCTCTCTCTCTCTCTCKCTCKCTCKCTCKCTCGCTCGCTCTCGCTCTCTCTCTCCAAAGCTAACGCACGTACTCGACGGAGAGTGGGTGGAGGTCTAGGTGTGGATGTTGTGATGTCTGTCTGTGTGTCTGTATGTTTGGTCTTGTGTGAGTGAGTGTGTGTGTGTGCGTCCGCTGAGGGTCGGGACAGGCGGGGAAGGGGAGGAGGGGAAAAGGGGGGTGCGGTGCGGGAAGAGGGAAATGAGTGTGTTGTGTGCGCGAGCGCGCACGCGCAGAGGACGGTATGC